GGTCCTGGGCCTTGATCGCTTCTAACATACAGTGGTAGAAAGACATTTATATTAAGCGGTGAGTGAGGTGGTGAGTGACGCTATGGTGACCTGAAGAAATTGCCATGTTGGGATGATGATGGGTTGACTATGAAATCATGTGACTCTGTGTGGTGGGTTGGCTGGTGCTTAGCTTGCGAATGTTTGCTATGTTTAAAAAATTGTGGTTTCAGTGTTTAGTTCTATTGGTCTGTGACGCGATGAGCGAGGCTTATAGGCACGTCGGGTCTGAGGTCTGGTTCGGTGAGAACGAGTTGTGTCATCCCTGATCTCAAATGCCCAGTGGGGTCTTGTGGAGGACAAAGGCATACCTTAAATCGTCTATGTTACAGGCCCTTCGCGTGCTCGTTCAGGCAGAAACCGCAAGGTCTCTGCCAGTCTCGCCTACATATTTCTGGGACAGAATCCACAGGATTGGAGTAGACGCCTGCTGTGGAAGTTTGAGGTGTGGGGCTGCGTTTCGTTGTAGGGTCTTTGATAGATGATGTGTTATGGTGGAAACCATTGATGTTACTCTTTGAAAGTGCCAGCATTCCAAACACTGTTTTTTTACCTGTTAAGATACGTTGATGATATATAGTTTTCTTATCGAGGGACGTCTCAATATCCAGGCCACTTCTCAACAAGATCAATGCAGCGAACCATCAATAAAGTATACACTTGAACTCGAAAAGGTATGGGCCAGACTTCCTTTCTCGACGTCCTCCTGTGCGGATCTCCGACAGTGACAAAATTCCTCTTCAAAGTGTATAGAAAAAACCCCCCCCCCCCCCCCCCCCCCCCCCCCCCCCCCCCCCCCCCCCCCTCCCCCCCCCCCCCTACAACAAGGTGGCGATTCTTTACACTTCTAGTTCACACCAGACACCGCACTAAAGAGAGTCCTCATTGGTTCTTCTGAGAGTTCCTCGCATTTCCGAGCCTTGTTTTTCTTAAAAGAAAGAATGTTTTTACATAACACAAGCTTTACATGTCTTCAGTTTCCTTCTTTATTCATCCGACATTGCAGACTCAAGGCACAAGCTATCCTCAACAAACTGTCCCATGGAAACAGCCCCCATAAGCGTTCATAGTGCTCCCTTGTGGTGATGTTGCCACAAATATCGCCGGGGGCAACTTGACTAAGAGTAATATCAATGTTTCCAGCATAAACACATCATCTATCAAAGACCTTACTACGAAACGCAGCCCCACACCTGTATTTCCACAGCAGGCATCTCACCATTCCCTGGTTGATTCTGTCCGAAGGAAAATATGTAGGCGAGACAGGCAGAACCTTCGGTCCACCTGAACGAGCATCGAAGTGCCGGTAACAGTGCGATGTAAAAGATATGACATGTGTCATCCACAGAGACTCACGGGGCATTGATGAATGGAAAGAGGCACAACCGTTCTCGCCGAACTAGACCTCAGACGCGACGGTTGCCTAGAAGCCTTCGCTAACCTTCGTCATCGACTCAATAGAACGTAAACATGGAAACCACAAAATTCAAAAACATTAGCATACATGATACTTTAAGTAGGGTAAGCTCCACCAACCAACACACAGGGTCACATGATCTCATCGTCTACCGTCCTCGTCAACATGGCATTCTTAGGTCTCCATGCGTCACTCATACCTTCACTCTCTCACTCTCTGCATTATATCCATTCTGTAATACGGTGACCAGAACTGTGCAGCATAATCTAATGGGCTCACAAGGATCTAAAGTGCAACCTGAGAATTCTATGATTTATACTTTTTATATGAACCAAGGATTCTGTTAGCTTTTATGCCAAACACGTTGCACTGTTGAAAAATAGGGACATGCCTGCTGAATGTCACATCAGGTTTTAATTATTCCAAGTAGACAGGAGTACGGAAAGGGGGGTGGGTGCACCTCTCGTGTCCGAGATCGTTTATTTTGTTTGCTATGAAAAGTTGTATAAAGTATGAAAACCTCTGAGTCTATTTGGGTAGAATTCTCAGAGCACGAAAATTTGATTTTAGTGGATTATACCGTCCCCCCAACTAGAATAGAGACGAGATAGGGAGGAAATTGTTAAGGCCACAAGGCACGATTACACTTGTTAATTCTAGGTCACTTTAACCTTTATATCAGATTAAATGAACTTTTTTGACAGGGAATTTAGAATCTAATGACTTTTTTAGAAGTAGTTCAGGATTGTTTTTGAAGCAGTTTGTGACAGAGCCTACAAAAGGGAAATAACTTGCTTGACTGGTTTCTGGCAACAAGGAAACTCACTTGTTATAATTTTAGAAAATTCAGAGGAACTCGGCAAGTGACCACAAATCAATGACCCCTTAGCATGAATGGAAGTATGATAGATAGGGATAACACAGTAAACAGTCCAGATTTTCTTTATAACAGATACAGTGTGCTTAGAGAAAACTTTTCATCTGTTGGCCTGGGGTATGAGAGAGCTATCATATGCGAGTTTTCTAAAACACTATACATGCTGACCCAATGACTTCTATCCAATAAAGAAATTAGAATCGAATAGAAAATGACCAAAATGATATGAATAAAGGCTCAAATATCTTTATAGAGCAGAAAAAGGTATATATAGGTCACCAAAGAGGTGAGGTCATTTTATGAATCAATATATTGACATTAAAAAGGGGATTAAAAAAAAGCCTAACGGGGATACCAAAATTAAAGTTGATAGTGATTCGAAAAACTAATCCCGTTTTTTTTCTAGTTTATAGAAACCAATTTTTGAGAAAAGCATAGGTCCCCTTAAAAATAATCTAGGCCTCTTACTGAGAAGGAGATTGAAATGTGTTCGATTTTAAATAAATTATTTTCTCTCTGGTTTTTACCAGGAAGACACTACCAATATCACAGTAATTAACAATTTTTATAGATGTGGGCTGAAGAAGGTAAATTATGTAACCATCACAGTCACTAGTGAAAATGGTGTTGGAAGCAGATGACCGACTGAATCAAAAAATTTAGTACCAGGACCTGATGAGGTTTTTTCAAGGGTTCTAGGGAATGCTATAATGGAACTCTGTGAACCTTTAACTAACATTTTTAATTTATCTTTCAAACAGGTGTAGGTGTCTGATATGTGGAAGATGGCTTAATGTAATTCTATTTTAAAGAGGGGACAAATCGTCTCCGTCAAATTTACTGCCCAATAAGCCTGACCCCAATTGTAGGGCTAATTTCTAGAGGCGTTTAGCTGAGATTATAAAGAAGCATCTGGATGAACATTATCTCTGGACTAATGATACTCAGCATGGATTACACGATAGCGCGTTCTTGTCTATACTAATTTATTAACTTTTTCCAGTAAAGCTTTTGAGGCTGTTGATCACGATAAAGAATTTGATCTGGTTTATTTAGATTTTAGTAAGGCTTTTGCTAAGTTCCGCACCAAGACTGTTGACGAAAAGTAGCAGCTCATTGCACTGGGGGGAAAAATGCATCTCATGGATTTAGTCATGGCTCATCGACAGGAAGGCAGAGAGTGTGCATAAATAGGGGTTAAATTTCGAGTTGGGATCTGTAACAAAATGGCGTTCCACAGGGATCAGTCTTAGGTCGTTGGTTGTTTTATAATATATATCAATGATCTTGATTCTTGATGAGGGAATTACTAGTGAAATACGGAAATTCGCCGATGGACACATAATGATAGGTAGGATAACTGTTTAAAACGTAGATTTCAGGAACTTTCAGAGAGGATTTCGACAAATCAATTACCTGGTCAGAAAAGTGACAGATGCAGTCAGTGTAGATAAATGCAAGTTCTGAAGCTTGGAGTGTCCATAACCTAGCACTTATAGTTATATAATGTAGAACTTAGCCATACAGATTGCGAAAAGGGACTTGGGGGTTATGATAAGCAGCAACCTTAAACCAAGACGCTCAAATGCCTAAGATACGTAATAAGGCAAAGATTACTGGGGATTTTTACAGAAATGTGAGGCATCAGAACGTCCAGAGGTCATACTGCAGCTTTATAAGTCAGAAGTAAGGCTCATCTTAGAATATGCTGCTCAGTTTGGTCTCCATATTAACAGAATGGACATAAATTCGTGAGAAAACATTCAGCGTGAATGACTAACTTTAATACATAGCATTTAGAAATCTTCCTTTATGAAGGAAGATTTTGAAGACCCCATAAATTACATTTCTTGTTAGACGAAGAATGGAGGGGAGAACCTGATCGAAGTGTATAAGTGGAAGCTGGGTATTAATAAAGGGGATATTAGTAAGGTCTTGAGGGGATCTCTCCAGGAGAAACCGCAGTAATGGATTTTAAATTGGAGAAAGTTTAGATTTAGAAAGGATATAGGAAAGTATGGTTTGGAAATAGGGTAGCGATGAGTGGAACAGTCTGCTGTAGGGGTTATAGAGCCTAATCTTGGGTAGTTTCAATTTTAGGTTGGATAACTACATGGAATGGTGGGGTTGGATTTGAATGGAACTTGCAGTGAGTTATAGAATTATCAAAGCTTATTTTGGTTAGAATTGAAAATTGGGTGGCCAATATTTCGTTAATGGGAGGATTATGAAAAACTGCTTGTATGAGCCCAACGGCCTGCTGCAGTGTTCCTCCTTTCGTATGGTCTTCTGTTATATACAACGTCTGGTATTACTGTCTCTGAAAGATGAGAGGTATTTTTCTTTCTATTTTCTTTTCTTTGTCAGCTTATCTCATTTTTCTTTCAGAATGTTATTTTCTTACTTCGGGGATTACGTGTCACGCCAAAACCTGTCGCTTATGGACTGATGAAAAATAGCTTTACTTAAGAGTTTTTACATATTACGTTAAAGTTAGAAAACTCTTCAAAACACTGTTACTTTTTATGACTTCATGACAATATTAAATAAATGAGCGTTTGAAACGTTTCAATGTACCAATTTGCAGTTTTTTGTTATGAATTATGATTTAGAACACGGAGATGTTTGGCCAAACACGCAAGCTTGTTACTACTGCCTTTTTTTCAGGTTACTTCGAATTTGAGGGAGGCGAACTCAGCATAAGATTCCGCACTGACGAATCGACAAGTAAGGACGGGTTCTCCATCCAAGGCAAGCAAGTGTCTTGCGACGATCTTGTCCAGTCTTCTATCAGCCCCTCTCCGCCAGGCAGAGTCGACAATGAGCACTCCCTTTCTTCTTCATCAGAATCAAATAATCGTTCATCAGCTACTTCATCAACTCCCTTTCTAACTCCAAACTCCTTAACGAATCAGTCAGATATCGACATAAACTACATCCTATCACTCATTGGTCGACGGCCCATACTGAAGGAGGAGGCTGAAGCTGCTGAGGCTGTTGAAGAGGACTTCTTGGAGTTGGATTCCGGACTCGTGACGGAGGGAGACGCTAAACAAAACCAAAACTTACCAGGTAATCCGAATTTTAATCCTTTCACGAGCACTGGATTGCAACCTACTTTGCCCACAATTCCGGGAATTGGCTTCCCGACTCCTGTAAACTTTCAAGCGAGCAGCAGCTTTCCCACAGCATTTTTCCCGAGCGTGCTTGCTGATGCTGATTGTGACATATTCGTGGATTCGACGAGCAGTTCCTTCGACTTCAGCAGTCCAAACTACCCGTTACAATACCCGGCCTCCCAAGACTGTACTTACGTCATTCCAAAATCATCGGCAGAAGTCTGTGCGGTAAGCTGAAGTCTGTGAACTTGATCAAACATAATACGTCACTTAGTAAATAAAATTTACACTTAATCAACATTACCGAGACAAAAATAACCTGATTTTATGTAATTATTATCATGCTAATTGTAAATTGAATTAGTTCGACTTGACTACTTTTACAAGTTGATAATTTTATTTAATTTAAAATTATTTTAGAAATGTTTCACGAATCAACACAACAAACATTTGTGTACTAAAAATTCTAACACATTTTTTTCAACAATTTCTTGATTTAGAAGTATATACTTTATTTTTTTCTGCCGTTTCCCCTCACACTAGGGCCTTTCGCCCAAAAACCCAAAATTTTGCCCTAGCTGGACTGACCTTCACTGACCTAGACTGAATTTCCCCGGGACTTGAGCTGTTCGCGGACTCCCTGGACGTGGATTATCAGGCGTGCCGCCCTGTCTCATCCAACAATTTTCTTGTGAGTACCAATCTTTGAGTCTCAGCACCCCAAAAAGCTGTCATGGGTTAAAATTTTGTCGCTAACCGTAACTTGGTTCAATTATTTTTTGAATTTTCGAAAAAATTTTTTTCTTGGAAACCCCCATCAAGTGAAAATTTTACAGCATTCTTATAACTCACAAATATATACACTCGTCGTTCGCTGAAGGAGGACGATCGACAACATCGTTTTCCATAAACTATTCTTACGTCTATTAAGAAAGCCCAGAGTCATCCCCACGAAGCCCTATTCTCAGATCAACATTTAAATAGTTTTGTATTCCGCATAATCTTAAAACTTCAGATGGTTATTTTTTACATCCCTTCCTTTTCTGATGACTCCGGCCCCGGGTCGTGGCTTCCAGGTGAGTCCGACCACACCTAACACAGTACACTCATTGAACGTTAGATATCCTTACTAAAGAAAGCCTTGCACAAAAAAAACGTCATTAGTACTCACTAAGGTTCCCAAGCTCACAAACGTCGATTGCACTCACTAACATTCCCAACTAACGAGCGATCCCCTCAAAAGCACTGCCCTACACTTACAAAGGTTGTTTGCACTAACAAATGTTTAGTGAATAACTTGCATTTACTAAAGTTGCACACCATTAACTCTTGCCATTCATGCATTAAAAGAAACATACGTACTATTAAATCACTAAAATTACTGGGGGCAGTCAATGAATTTTTGTCATCATTCATAACGTTCCTTGCACTTATTAAGTATTACATGTTTTATAAACTTGAAGCATTCAGAAAGCGTTTCCAGGCCCTCGTACATTTAGGAAAACACTCCAAAATTTCCCTTGCACCACTGATGCTGACATGCACTCACTGAACATTACCGGGCACCCATGAACATACCATTCATTTACTTAACTTTCCCATGCACTACAAAAAGTTGTATGACCAACGCTGCAATTCACTTCAACTTTAATATGACGCACCCACTATTTAGGATTTTTTTTAGGAAAAAATTTTTTTCGAACAAAATTCGAGGCGAAATGTTTCCTCAATAAAAATGAACACTGCACATTCTTTACTTTACACTTGTCTGAAGTTTTAAAATTTTTTTAACCTAAACATAGTAAGGACTCTAAACGTTGATTTACATTTTCAAACTTTGATATTGTCTGAAACATTGTCATCAGTAAACAGTACTAAATTAACATGGTGTTGTACGGCAGGGCATGATTCACTCAGCTGGCTATGCCTGGGTGAAGAGTTAGAAAAGACCCTTTTTTGAGTGACGGAGAAGTGGAAGAAAAAGCGGGCGAGAGGAAACCGCTGGAGAGGGGACAGTAACCAGGGCTGAACCCATTTTGCTAGGTCGTAGGGTACAGGAACTGGTTTGGCTAGGATGACGAAAAGGCTAGGACATGTGACACCATACACATCTTGCAAAGGCCCGGGAAACACCAGGGGTAAGGGGAAAAACAAAAAAACGGTTTGACAAAGCCCCCGGGGGAGAGCGAAACTTTGCCACAATAAATTGTCACTTTAGTTGCACTTGGCGTTTTCTTTTACGTCATTTACTTATAAAGGGGATTTGGATCATGAGCTAGCAGAGAAAAAATAGATTGTGTAGGTTGTAGGTTTTGGCGAAGTCTTCGTAAAGGGAGGGTCCAATATCATGTATGTCTCTATTTATCAAACACTCTCGTGACGTTTTCCAGTACACTTTTCAGTGCGGGGATTTGATTGCATGGGTGACGGCTTTAATAAAGTTTTCCCCAGACATAAAGCACCCATCGAAAAGCCTTGTTCGGATACGATGAAGTTTGAGGTTGTTATTTTAAGCAAGAAGATAGGAGGAGAGGAGAGAGAGAGAGAGAGAGAGAGAGAGAGAGAGAGGGAAAGAGAGAGAGAGAAGAGAGAAGAGAGAGAAAAGGGGCAAAAAATTTAATATGGGAGGTAGGTGTATTTGGTGCGCTGAGAGGCTTTGGGGAATCAGTCCCTCCCCCTTGATCGATAAATCAGGCGTGAAATCGACGATTACATCGACTCAAGGCTGGGGGACTGTTTACCTCAAAACTCCTCCTTTCTTCACCTTTCTTCTTTTATGGACTGATGAACCACGTGGGGCCCCGAAACTTTTTCCCATTAAAGATTCCCAAAGTTGCCTGTGTTTTAATTTATAAAACTTGTCGGTTCTCTGAACCTTTTCATCTACACGCTCATTAATTTGCCAATAATCCCCCCAGTAACAGCAAAGTTTTTTGTACAAGCGTTTTAAAACCCCACAGTTTGTCAATAGGTACATAATTAACGATATGTTTCGTCTTACAAAACATAAATTGTATTTGTTACAACCTTTTTTGCTAACAACTTTTTAGCAGATTAATGACCAAACAAATTAAATATTAAAGAGATTAAAAAAAAGTAAAAAAAGGAAATAGAGAATATGAATTTAAGGTTACGAGGGATTCAAAGACCAATCCAAAGGGGCAAATTTAGATATTGGGGAATAGACAACGGAAAAAAAAGGCAACAAAAATGTAACCTATTAGCTTACAGTTAGTGACTAAAAATTGACTTTTTTAAACTTTATTTTCCTCTTTTTTTTATACAAGAAATACAAACAAATTTTTTTGAAATCAAAATTGAAAAACAAGTAAAGAAAGAAAAAATACGCAAGATCCTAGCCCGCAGAAAATAGAGTTGAGGCCAAACAAGTCCCCCGGCCGGACGAGTTGTTAACAAAATTGTAGGGAAAAAAATTACCAACCATTTTGCAGTCCATTAAATGATCACTAAAAATAGGGATGTTTCGGGTAATTGAAAAAAATACCCCTATAAAAGCGAGAGATTTCAAGTAGATACATAGGGAAAATTAGGCATCTTTTAATCCGAAACGTTCCCTACACAGTAGGCTTCTTCATCATACAGAAATAAAAAGGACAGTAAGATGGAAGACGTGTAATTAATCCATCACCCCTGAAGTCGGAGATTTTAGGGTTTTCATCCCCCAGCCTTGTAAACTTTGCCAAGGCCACTTAACTTTCATTTTTTATTTAATATTTTTCATGCCATGGACCCCCCTTTTTTCATCTCACTCCGTTACAAAATACTTACAAAACCTTTCGCCTACTGAAAAACCCCGGTTTCCCGGGGCAACAGGGTTTTAAAGGCTTCCATACAGTGTAATGGGCAGTGACAAAGAAAAACTAACTTTTTTTTTCCCCAAAACATCTTTTCATACAGTTGGGTAACTTTTCCCACAATGTAATTATCAGTAGATAGGATAGTCGCGCACGCAGGTGTCCCCACAAAAATAACTCTAATAAACAAAAAGTTTTCGTAGCGCGCTCTCCGAGCATAAACCCGGTCTTCTGTGCCTTTTGCACTATAAGGAATATCCCAATCGGCATAAGTTTTTATGAATTTTTTCATTAGATCATAATCAAGTTGATAGGTGTCACTTCCATTATATGGAAACAATATGGTAAATTTTTCCCTTTATTAAAAAAATACAAAAAAAGACCTGCAGAAAAAATTTAATTTAAAATTTTACACTAAAAATTCCACTTTAAAAAAAATTGAAGAGGTTAAACTTTTCTCAAAGAAACCAATATCCTAAAAAATACCAACTATTAATTCTGGAGCACTCACAGGTAATTATAAGATATCACGAGAAAAAATGGAAACAAATTAGCGAGGCACTCTAAAATAGCCGAGAAACAATATTTCAGGGGTTCCAAATGTTTCATTGCAAATAAAATTTGGGCTGCACAGGTTTTAATCTTTCATACATTAAATTTTTTACAGTGGTGTTGAGGGGACACGATGTTATCGATACTAAAGATACTTTTGTAAATTTTAAACTGGGTTAACTTAATGAAGACAGACACGTGACAATTTCTTTCAGAAGACATTCTCGTTATTCAAGATCCCAATTTGATTAAAAAATTCAGCCAGCAAAAATCAAAAAACTTTCTTTTGAAGGGGAAAAGCAAGTAATTTTTGTTATTGTAATAAATTTTTTAAATTCCGACAATATGTAAAGTAAAGGACACAAGTCAAAATAATGTGACATTTTTGTGGAACGTTTTTGCTCTCCAAGCTTTACAAGCCATTTATCAGGCTTGATAAAGCCCGGGGAGCGAAACTTGCCACAATAAATGTCACTTTTTTGCACTTGTTCCTTTTACTTTAAATTTTTTTTTATTCACAGAATTCAAGAAAATTTTCACCAAAACCCGCACATTGTGAATTTTTTTTTTTTTCCTCTTTGCATACGTTTTTCGCCATTAAAACTGATGTCTAATAATCTTATTTTAAATCAGGGAAAAACGCTAAAACCCGTAGGACCCTATAATCTTTTATAAAGGGGGGTATTCAGATTTTATACACCAAAAATCCAATTCCTTTACACGAGCCCCCATCACACTGAATCACACTAACAGTAAACAAAATCAAAAAGGAATAAAGAAATATTTTGTTGTACTTTTTAGATAAATGGGCAAAATCGCGCCCGTACCCCCATTAACAATACCAGCTTCTTTAAAAACACACAAAAAGTTTTAATTTTGAAAACCCTCAGCAGAGAATTTTTAAAATTTTCTCCCAAAACCAAATTTTGAGAAAAATTTACGTAAACACATATACAACAGGGTTGCCATATTCTGTGGGATTCCCCCAATGTAGGGGTGTATTTTTAGGAGAGTGCCAAATTGTGAATAATTTGGGCAGAAGTCTGAGACAAATTGAAATTTTAGTACTACACTTTTGTGAAAACGTTTTGCCCCCTGGGAGTTTTTGTCAGTGGGCGAAACATTGCCCAAACAGGTTCAATATGCTGCACTTTGCTTTATCTTCTGTTTTTGTTTTTTTCTACCCCATACTTAGCAAGTTTATGATTTCCCCCTCCCCTTTCGGCACAGCTGTTTTTGGGAAACATTAACGGGGTTGGGTGAATAGGGTGGACATCAAGACGCAGGGAAACGAGTTCCCACGCAAAGCCAGGGTTCCCCAAAAAGATAAACCCCTCCCCGACTGCACCACCCCCGTCCTCAAGCTTCTTCCCCATCACCAGGTAGGGGGGGGGTTTTGCAGTTTTCCGTATTAAAAAAAACCGCTTTTTGCATGTTACTAAAAATCAAGTTAGGGAAGAAAGTTTGAATTTGAAGGTTTTTTAAATCGTTTAGGTTATAAGTTAATCACGTTTCATTAAATGGTTTCCTTAGTTATAAAACTTGGTTTAAATTAAAGTTATATGTTTAAATTACTAGGGTTTCATTAATTAGGTTTTCGTTACATGATGCAAATTATGTTTCGTAAATTACAGTTTTTAGATCGCCTAATATGAAGATAAATTTTTTGGTAATTTCATTATATTAGGCTACACTGTTAGTATTCATAT